GTGTACATGTAAAATTGAGTTGAGAAAAAGCAGGAATATTATAGTTGATTTTCGTAAAAAAGTGTTATATTCACATAAGGGTAGGATTAAGTGTCAAAACTGTTTCTGGTAAATTTAATACGTTCGAATAAACAGAACTACGGAACAATAGAAGATAATCTTTCTTTATTGATGAGGGATCTTAGAACAACAAAATCGAAGCTACAATAAATTGAAAGCGTAAGACGGTTGTTCAAGGAAGATCTTCAGAGTTGAAAAGGTCTGATTTGCTGGCATCAGAGCTTTGTTGTAGTCTCGTTGCTTGTTCGTGGACGCGGCGAGAATATGTTCTCTAGGATTTTTAGCTGTGTTGCCCTTTTTTCCCTGTCATGTTACCTTCGGAGGTCCCTACTTTATATATGTTCATAGGTCGGTGAGGATTTGGCCCTTAGGTCGGTTCTCAACTTCCCTCTTCTTCAAAGATTCGTATTTATAGTTATATGGAAATTCGTATGTACCCGTAGGATTCGTAGCTCTTCAATCCCATGGGATTCAGACGTCGTATATATCATAGGATTCGAAGCAGCAACATTTGGACCTATGTCATTTGGACCTGGCCCGCAGGTGACTTTCTCAACAGGTCCAACTTAGGAATTAATTTTTTCCAACAACTTGCCCCCCATTCTCTAATTTCTTTTTAGAATTTGGAGAGTAGTAAGACACTAAAGTTAATAGCAGTAACCGACGTCGTGCGTGTCGTTTTGCTTTAGGCCATTGGACTCCTTGTCGTGTTGTTTCATTGGAAATTCCAAAGCACATATATATTTTGACTTATAAAGAAAAGTAAAGGATGTGTACCTGTTGGACTCATGCAATTAAGGTCTTTTAACGATCAGATAAGCTTTTAGAGAGCTATTCGAGGTCGATATTGGAGTTAATGAAGTTCTGTTCGCTTACTACTTCAAAGCTAATGATATATATAGGAATAGGCGCGTGATTCATAAGCGCAATGGCCCGTTCCCTCATTTGTTGCTTGATGTACCGAAGCGACGTAGGTCTAGACTTCCTTATGAGATAGAATGGACAAAAAGCTTTCTTTTCATTAAAGTGGGTCACGATCCGGGTTACCCCGCTGCGTGGTTTTATGGAGGTAGACTCACTGGTTTTCCCAGACATATTATAGTGATTTTGCTGAAACTAACCTTGTACAGTTTCTGACACAGGTTTCAAGCGCCAGAGATTCAAAGAAGGCTTGATCGGAGCGTGGAAAGTGATTAGCATACCAGAAAAGGATCGCTCTGTCTCTTGGTTACTCAACCCATCTATTTTGAAGAAAAGTACTATACAAGGTAGCTAGCTTTTATACTGGTTTATGTACCATCTTTCAATGACGATCAGTTTGTGTGACATTTTGCGCTCCTTCACAGGTGGTACGATGGCTGGGTCGGGTGAAACGATCAGTAATACTCTCGAAAAATTCAGGCGTGCTAGAGGGGCGTCTATACCCGCTCCCTTGAATCCTGCTTCCAAAGACAAGCAAACTGTCCCAAACTCCTCTATGAAGCATACAATCACACATTGTGATGGTGCCCCGCGAGTTTTCAGGATTTTAAAGAAACAATGCTCAGGTGGTGTGTCGACTACTTCCGATCTCTCCCTTGTGATTGATGATCTCAATGAGAGTCATTTTTCTCGTGATCTTGAGAGCTTTAGAGAGTTAGGCTTTACCGCTGTTTTGGATGACGTCCAATCTTCGCATTTCAAAGTGAGAACTCTTCTGACTTTGTTTCATTTTGTAGGTACTTTTGAATTGTTAGCCGCACATCAATTGACATTGATTTTTTTACCTTTGTAGGCGATGTCCGCTTGCTACTGTGAGAAGATGCGCTTTCCAGAGGCTGAAACGGAAATGAAGCGCCTTTCTGAAGACAATATTAAGATAAAGGAGTTTGAATCACAAAAGACACTGTTGAATTCCACCATCGCCGCGAAGAATCAGGAGGTGAGCTCTTGGATGGGTAAGGTTGATGTTCTTAAAGGCGACGTAGCTTCGTTGGAAGCGAACAATGAGGAGAGCAAGCGCATAGTCACTTGTTTGGAGCAACAACTTGAGTTGGCAACGTCTGGTGCAACTATTATCAACACTTGGAAGATGACCCAAGAGTTTCAAGATGGTAAAGCACCAAATTGGAAAGTTGAGGAGCCGAAACAGCTTATAGAGAGGTATTAACTGCGCAAGCAACCATAGAAGGTAGGACTCCTTCAGCTTTTTCCGATATTGACCACACCGCACCTGTCTTAGGTACGAAGTAAGGTCGTTTTGCACCTTTCCAAGCACGACCCGTTCACATCTGGGAGCGTCGTTTCTTTGGAGTATAGTTTTTATAGATATCTTGGCTGCATATGTTAGCCTTTTGGAATTCTCTTTTAGGAGTTTTCTTGTGGAACATTGTAGCTTGCACTATATGCCCCCCGACTCTGTTATTTTGCGTTGTAGTACCTGATTTTTAGCTTGTTGCTCGCATCAGTTGTTACTTTTTTTTTCTGGAGCTCTGGTGAC